AATGGGAAAATAGTCCAGAGGGGATGAGGGGAACTATTCCAGAGCAAAGGGGGTAAAATATATCTACTGAAAAAGAAGAAAAATGTCAGGAGGCGAAAAAAACGTCCACCGAGAAATTTTTTACCTTAAAACTAGCTTCCACTCACAGGGGCCCGAGAAAGAGACCAGCAACAAGAACAAGAATAATTCGCCAGAAAAAAAACAAATCTCTTGTTGTTTCCTCTATACTACAGTTGGCTGTATGTTTTAAGACGTTTAAGGCTTATTGCTTTAACCCCTTGTGCAAAGAATAAAGAAAACTTTATGTATATACAGAAAGAGAGAGAGAGAGAGAGAGAGAGAGAGAGAGAGAGAGAGAGAGAAACTCTCAATGTATATACTCTTATTCTTTATGTGGATAACTTATTTTACTTATAATAAATTTCCTGAGGTTGACAATAGTTACAATAATTTATAGTAAGCTGCAGTATTTTTCAACAAGTTATGTGATTTATGTTAAAGCTGACTGTAATGTTTGATTATACAATTATCATTTTTGCTGGTGATTTGCTGAATGCGGATGGCAGATACTTAATAACACGGTGGTTGACTGACATAGAGCAAAAAGTGAAAAATTATGTCATTACACACAGCAATTGCTGTCATTCTGGTGAACCATTATTGTTGAGTTTCTCCTTTCACGAGTGTTCTATGAGAGAGAGTGGCGGAACTCAGGGAAACTACGGCTTTAATCCTACTTCAGCGTAATTTCTGAAAATTACACTGACACCATTCTCTCTCCCTCTCTCGTGAGGTGGTTTTGTTTGAATTCTGAAGTTCTACACTATTATTAAGGGGCCTTCACTGTGTCTTCGGCAGTTGCCGTTTCTCTTTCGCGCAGAAATTTTACACCTGGGAGGTTATTCCGGGGATCAACGCCCCCGCGGCCCGGTCCATGACCAGGCCTCCCGATGGATCAGGGCCTGATCAACTAGGCTGTTACTGCTGGCCGCACGCAGTCCGACGTACGAGCCACAGCCCGGCTGATCCGGCACTGACTTTAGGTATCTGTCCAGCTCTCTCTTGAAGGCAGCCAGGGGTTTATTGGCAATTTCCCTAATGCTTGATGGGAGGCTGTTGAACAGTTTTGGGCCCCGGACACTTATGGTGTTTTCTCTTAGTGTACCAATGGCGCCCCTACTTTTTATTGGCGGCATTTTGCATCGCCTGCCCAGTCTTTTACTTTTGTAGGGAGTGATTTCTGTGTGCAGATTTGGGACCATTCATTCCAAGATTTTCCAAGTGTAGATTATGATATATCTCTCCCTCCTGCGTTCCAACGAGTACAAGTCAAGTGCTTCCAAGCGTTCCCAGTAGTTAAGGTGCTTGACAGAACTTATACGTGCAGTAAAGGATCTCTGTACATCTCTAGATCTGCGATTTCACCTGCTTTGAATGGAGATGTTAATGTACAGCAGTATTCCAGCCAAGAGAGAACAAGTGATTTGAAAAGGATCATCATGGGCTTGGCATCTCTCGTTTTGAAAGTTCTCATTATCCATCCTATCATTTTCTTTGCACGTGTGATCGTGGCACTGTTGTGATCCTTGAAAGTGAGATCCTCAGACATTACTACTCCCAGGTCCCTTACATTATTTTTCCGCTCTATTGTATGGCCGGAGTCAGTAGTATACTCTGTTCTAGTTATTATCTCCTCCAGTTTTCCATAACGGAGTAGTTGGAATTTGTCCTCATTGAACATCATATTGTTTACCGTTGCCCACTGGAAAACTTTGTTTATATCTTCTTGGAGGTTAACCGCGTCCTCAGCAGATGACAGCCTCATGCAGATCCTAGTATCATCCGCATATCACAGGCATAACTTATTCACATCAGAGTATTCCCCTAGATTATGTGTGTGAATGTGTACTCACTCACCTAATTGTGGTTGCAGAGGTTAATTCATATCTCCTGACCCTGTGTGTGTGTGTGTGTACTCACCTATATGTACTCATCAATATGTTGTTGCAGGGTCGAGTCATAGCTCCTGACCCCGCCTATTCACTGGTCGATACTATTTCACTCTCTCCCTGCTCCATGAGCTTTATCATACCTATTCTTAAAGCTATGTATGAACTTGCTTCCACTACTTCACTCTCCAGATTATTCCACTTCCTGACAACTCTATGGCTAAAGAAATACATCCGAACATCCCTATGACTCATCTGGGTTTTCAGCTTCCAATTGTGGCCCCTTGTTCCTGTATCCCATCTCTGAAACATTCGAACCCTGTCCACTTTGTCATTCCTCTCAGTATTTTATGTTATCAACATGTCCCCCCGTATCCCTCCTATCCTCTAGTGTCGTCAAGGCCGATTTCTCTTAACTAGCTCTGGAACTAGTCTTGTTAGTTAGTTACCATTCTGTCCTAGGCACATGTCTATTAGACACTAGGCCTGCTGTATATACACGTGTTGTGTGTGTGTGTGTGTGTGTGTGTGTGTGTGTGTGTGTGTGTGTGTGTGTGTGTGTGTTTGTGTTGTGTGTGTGTGTGTTGTGTGTGTGTGTGTGTGTGTGTGTGTGTGTGTGTTGTGTTAGTTACCATTCTGTCCTAGGCACATGTCATTAGACTGGTGTGTGTTATGTGTGTGTGTTTGTGTTGTGTGTGTTTGTGTGTGTTGTGTGTGTGTTTGTGTGTGTGTGTGTGTGTGTGTGTGTGTGTGTGTGTGTGTGTGTGTGTGTGTGTGTGTGTGTGTGTTTATTCTGTCCTAGTGTGTAGTGTGTGGTGTGTGTGTGTGTGTGTGTGTGTGTTTGTAGGTTTGCGTGGGTCTGGTGTTGTGTGTGTGTGTGTGTGTGTGTGTGTGTGTGTGTGTGTGTGTGTGTGTGTGTGTGTGTGTGTGTGTGTGACATGCGTGCGTGCGTGCGTGCTTGCAAGCAGTGTTTTATTAGGTAAAAGTTTGTTCTACGCTCTTGTAAACAGTGCTTTTGATGGTAACAAGAGCACATACCTTTTTTCGGTAATTTCCGAAAGTTTTCGAACAATTACGCTCTCCACCGACGTGCGGAGTGACGATAGCACTCGTTATAATAATCAATTTATCACCCGTTTGTTTGAATATATGTATGTTTGTGTGTGTGTGTCCTAGTGTAGGGCGACACAGCTCTGCCCGTTTCCTCCTCTATGGTTCACTATTTCTGGTGCCATGGTTATTCATACTTCTTCTGTGCTATCAGCATTTATGGCCTCTAGTCACTCTTCATCTCCATGACTATCATACTTCTTCCTAAACATGTGGTGACTCCACATATCACTTCCCTACCCCCACCCCCCGTCCGTGATTCATCTAAGTCTTCAACTTCCAACTGTGACCCCTTGTTGCTGTGTCCCATCTCTGGAACATCCTGTCTCTGTCCACCTTGTCTATTCCTCTCAGTATTTTATATGTCGTTATCATATCCCCCCCTATCTCTCCTGTCCTCCAGTGTCGTCAGGTCGATTTCCCTTAACTCGTAGGACATACCCCTACGAGGACAAATACATAGGTGGTTTTGATAAGGACCTGCATTGTATTGGCCAGTAGGCCAGCTGCTGTGTTCCTTCATTCTTATGTTCCTAAGAGCCATACTACACGCCAACACTACTGCCGCACGACGCACACACTATCAAGAGGACTAACATCCATTTATGGTTCAGTAAACGGCACAGATTTCACTCCGGAGACGCATGTTACCATTCTCACCCCTCTCTCCTAGTGATTATACAACTCTCCACGCCCACTTACTTCCCCCACGCCCACACAATTCCCCCACACTCCCCTTGCACCTGCACAAGGCGGACTGTGTGCTCACGTAATTAATGCTCATAGTTTATACTTAGTGTTTGCTTTCCTCGTGATGATTACCTCATTTTGTTCCTGCGGGGAAAGCGCTTGCGTGCACAGGGAGAGCTTTAGTATGCTGATAAAGTGCTTGTGCACACTGAGAGAGCACTAGCCTGTACAGGGAGCGCATGAACATACAGGAGAGCATTAGCTCACATAATGAGTGATTGTCACACTATGTAGAGAAACTTGCGCACGCAGAAGAACCATTTTCATTCACTGAGCTCCCCCACGCAATTTGAGTGCCTGTGCACGCAGGGTAAGTGCTTGCACACGGAATGAGACCAGCCATCATTCTGTGCGCATCTGGAACAAGGGAAACAGCTTTCGAGAGGAAACTGGAGCACTTTCCGTAACAAGTTCCAGATCAGCAAGGTTGCAATGGCTATATAGTTCTAAGTGCCGCTGGCAGCAACAGCCTGATTGTTTAGGCACTCAACAAGTAAGTCTGGTCTGGCTTCGGGGATAGAATCCTGGAAACCGGTCACGGGAGTCTCAGCGTCGCAGAAATGGTCTGAACATACGTTTAATAAACTTTATGGCTGGCAAACATAATTAGATAACTTCAGCAACTTTGAGAATAAAATTCAAGATAAACTTTATCATGCAATGCAGGAGAGCAGAGTTGTGTTTGGTGAGTGTAATAGACTGTGTACTTCAGGCGCTGTATTTTTATGGTTACGCTAGAAGCAATAAGTTGGTGGATCAGATGTCAGTGTAACATGAGAGGTTCTTGAGAGCAAATGATATTAACTGCCGACACGACGGTAAAAGCGAGACAGGTGCAGTATAATAATATTGGTAGAATTACCGACAATATGCTAGGTAAAAGGAGGTATGTGTACTAATGTGATAGTTTATTGCAGCAACGTTTTGCTCTCCAGGATCGAAACAAGGCTCCTAGAAAGCGAAACGTTGCCGCAATAAAATGTCACATTAGTTGCACATGTGTCCTTTTACCAAACATAAGTTACCTAAAGGACGACTCTTCGGTCTGTCCTGGGCCATTGTCTAGTTGCGAGTGGACCAGGACGGACCGAGGTTATGTTCACTTGATTTTTCCAATTGGTGGGTTAGTTGCTAATAAAGTCATCGAGACTAATACAGTCCTGTCACTAAGCGAAGTCTCCCTTGTTTCAGAGTGTCTTGACGGAGTTCTCTGGTGTGTTGTGGGCGTCTACAGGAGGTCGGGCGTCACTGCGGGAGGTGACAGTGGCGTTGCCACGCTCCTGGAGGACCGACGCCCTCACCTGCTCTCTCCTGACGCCTCTCACCACGGCCACAGTTCCCACCGATGCCCACATCCGCGTTACGTCCGCCCACCCGGTGTTCGGGTCTCGCCCCTGGGCGCAGCAGAGCCAGGGGTGTGGGCGGCAGGGTGACTACATCCAGCTGGGCGGCGACCTGCTGAGAGCCACCACTAACGACACCTATGTCCACGCCGCCCGCCTCTTGCTTGCAGAATGGGTCAAGTTCCGGTGGGGGGTGTTTGAGGAGCGCGGTTACCCCAACGACCCGCTCTACCCACCCACCTTCCGCGACCCCAAGACGAATGTTCCGCGGCCCAACACCTGCTCCACGCACAAGATCACGCCCGCGCCTTTCTGCACCACCGCCGCCCACACGCCCGAGGCGCCCACGAAGCACAATGCTCAGTGTAACGGCCGACCCGCCTGGGATATCATCCTTCAGTCTCAAGATTTTATCGATGGAAGGTGAGTGCCCCTAAGCCTTACTAAAGACTCGATATTGCAAAATCGTGAGTTAGGAGCATTGGTTTTTGCTTTGCATTCAGATTTGACGACACTTTACATTTTTCCAATATTGTTTGTTTCAGGAATGCTCCTACCAACGCCACCGCGCCGCTGCTGCCGTCTGTACGGTATGTGCAAGAAAGCGCTGCGCGCATTGTCCTCGTAGTAGAGGACACTGCCGTCATGAATCTACAGAGGAGATGGGAGTTCGTACGCAAAGCCGTGAGACGCGTGGTAGTGTACGACGTGCCTGACGGTGACCACGTCGCTCTGGTGGTGTTTAACTCTGTTGCCAACACCGCTGCTCCCCTGTCGAAGATGGACTCTTTGTCAGACGTGCGCCAGCGTGTGGGATCGTCTCTGCCGCGTAATCCGTCTCCCGTTCCAGAGAGTAACAAGTGTGTCTTGTGCGGCCTGCAGGAGGCTCTTAGAGCCCTGGACGCTGATAGTGCCGGAGCCGCTGGTGCCACAATAATCCTCGTGACTACAGGCAAGGGCGCGGCACACCAGCGAGAGGTAGACGAGATGTCTCGTCTAGCCACTAGCCGTGGCGTGAGAATAGACACGGTAATCTATCCACTGACAGAGCGACGCGGGGGAGGAGGCACGGCCACTGATGGTCTCCAGTCCTTAGTGGCCGCCACGCGAGGCTCTTCCTTCACCGTCATGGACGAGGGCGTCGGCAACGACTCAAAAGTCAGCATGATGGTTGCCCTGATGGATGCTCTTCTGGCGGCCGTGCGCCGTAGCGAGCCTCCTGCAGCTCCAGGAGCTCCAGTCATTATTCACAGTGCCGCCTACCCAGGAGGTATCGCCTCCATGGCCGTGGGATCTTTCTTCCTGGACGACTCTCTCGGTCCAAACGCCCGGTTCTCCATATATTACTACGACTTGAATCACGTGGGCAACACCGTGCAGCTGACAGCTCCTTCAGGAGAGACCATCATCTCTGGCAACATGCAGGAAGAAGATGGTGACGCTAATGTAATTTTCATCAACATTCCCAACGCAGAAAGAGGCCAATGGCAGTACCGTGTAGAGAACCGCGCGGATTCCCACCAGGGACTGCACATCCAGGTGACGGCCAAAGAGAGTAGCATACGCAAGATCAGCCTGAGGCTCTGGACCAACACCCCAAACAGTGCCATCAACGCCACAGACCCTTCACTACCCGTTATTATCTACGCCGAAGTAAAGGATGGCGAGGTGCCAGTCATCAATGCCAGGGTAACAGCCAAACTACAGCGCTTGGGAACCAATACCACCGGAAGCAACTATGACTCCATCTTGGTTGACCTCTTCGACAATGGTTTTGGAGGTAAATACTTTCGTATATTTTTTTGTCTTCGAATTCTTGGTAATTTATCTTCTGCACAACCCTTACAAGTTTAGCACTTATACATGAATATGTAAGTATTAATGAAAATAATATGCATTTTCCTCAGTGAACTTCGTCTTCACCCACATTCATTTTAGCTATTTTTTTCCCCTTCTTCTCTTACAGTGTATACATTATTTTATTTACCGACATTACTATATTTAATTTTTTTTCCATGTATTATCCAACGTATTCATTTTCAGTGTATTCTAACACATTTTCTCTTTCGATTTATTCCTATTTTTTCTTTACTTACCTTTTCATCATTTTCCTTGTCTCTATTTTCTATAACAGTTACTATGTTTTTTGTAGCCCATTCTCTCTATATTAACTGACTTTGTCTCTTGTTACAGACCCAGATATAACCGGAGGTGACGGGGTGTACTCACGTTACCTACCAACACTGCAGGGAGGACCTGGCCACTACCAGCTGGGCGTCTCCATCGACCACAACAGCGGCTTGGCCTTGGCCCCTATCAATGACGCCTTCACCCGTCATGGACGAATGTACGCAGACCGCGACAAGCAGACGTGCTGCGGGAGTGTCATCAAGTACGAGCACGTGAAGCCTGTGCCACCATTCCAGCGGTCCGTCATCTATGGTGTGCTGGACGTGGTCTCCCCGCCCCCAACGAATGACATCGTCCCGCCCACCCGTATCCTAGACCTCCGTTCTTTCGTGAACCTCACCACCCGTGAAGTATCTTTGCGGTGGACTGCCCCAGGGGACGATTACGACTGGGACCGGGCTCATCACTATGAAGCTGTGTTGGCCAGCTCTTGGGCCGAGGCTAAGGCTTTCGACGGAGAACGGATTAGCGGAATGCCCGTACCGGTGCTTGTCGGTACGGAACAAGCTGTGGCGATCCAAGTGGACCGCTATGACCAGATGGTCTACGTCGCTATCCGTGCTGTTGACGAGGCTGGCAACCGCGGAGGTGTGAGCAACATTGCGTCGCTGTGGGTGCCGCAGCCGCCCACAACGCCGCCCATGGTGACAAGTCCCCACACACTGGAGCCAACGAGTGACCTGACAGAGCCGCTGGGCCGCGGGGTTACACAACCCGTCAGAGTTGCTGGGATCAACCTGGAGGACATGGCTGTCATCATCGGCTCAGTGGGAGGCTTCCTCATAATAGTAGCTGTTCTTGCTACTTTCTGCTACTGCCACGTGGCCCGTAGACGGCGCCACCAGCACAAGAACGAAACTGAGAAGCTGGAGGCCAACCGCAGTGTCATGATAAAGACCAACTCTACCCTCATGGTGGACCAAGACGAAAGTCACGACTCAGTAGACAGCGCCATTAAGGACGGGGAAGTTGCAGTTGCTAAAGATGGCAGGCCGCTGTCACCAATACAGTCATGGGGAGTGTCCAAACTCCTGCAGGAGCACGAGCGTCGGGTCTCCATGACGAGCGGACCCTTATTGGAGGCCTCCGGTTCCCTGGCACACTACCAGAACATGCAGGAGCCCTTCCCTGACGTGACACTCACCGGCACTCACTCCTACCCCAGCTCACAGACGCCCTCCACCACACACTCTGACCCGCCAGCCTACCAGCCTCCCTACACCACCGACGCCTATGCCCCTTACCCCTACCCATACCACCCTGGCTACAGCCACGAGGAACTCCCCCCTTACACCCCAGGCCTATCTTCACAGTCGTCCCAGGCCTCTACGGCCTACACTCACGAGATTCCCACACAGCCCTCAGAAATGTCCTACCCTGTCGACCCTGCCAACTACCCAGCAGAAATGCCGTCCTTCGTTGGTGAGATCACATACAGCCAAGCTCAGCCCCCAATGTACGCACCTTGTCCAGAGGAGGTCATCGTTAATAGCCAGGCCCCTGTGCGTTCCAAGGTCCCTCCGCCAGTAGCGCCCAAACCGCCCCTGGCCGCCCGCGCAGCCGCCGTCGCCGCTACAGTTTCCTCAACAACGGCGTCAGTGGAGCCGAAGCGACGTAACGTGACTCAAGTGTGAGGTGCTCCCCCTGACCCCCATCCCCATCCCTCCCAGCAACAGCCACAAGAACGCTTTAAGTGTCAATATCATTGTTGTCATCTGCTTTTTTCACCTCCCGCTTCCTCCCTGCCCATCCCCTCCTCCTCCCTCTCTTCTCCCGAATCTCTTTTTGTATGGAGTTTTTTCATCGTATGATAAGACTTGTTGTATATGTAAAATACGTGTCCAGTGTATGGAAAAAAAACAATTGTATGTTGTACAGAATGTTGTTGATTGTAAGCTTTGCTCACATCTAGTCATAATTGTATAGAATTTAGGACCACTCGGTAGGTCCCCTCCGGCAGGTGCTGAAGTGGGGTCTCCTGAGAACCTCAAGAACAGCGAACAATGTGGTGCCCTCTCGGCCTCCACCACTGTACTGATCTCACTATATCTTGTATGTCTGTGATACAATTCGTAAAATAAAGACAATCATTGATGGATATCGTTTTGTGTGCGTCAACGTCCTAAAAACAACGACCTCCAGTGAAAAAAAATATCCACGAAAACAATATATACTAAGAAAAGTATACATCTTTCCTCAAAAGAAAGAGAGGCTGAAAGAAAACGACAAAGAGGTATGCGAGTTTTTCTGTTTTGCTCATAAGCATCAGGTAAAATGTTCCTCTTGTGTTTCAAGACAGGATTCTACAAGATGTTTCAGGTGCTGTGGTGACTTCTTAGGGTTTGGCAAAGATGCTGCAGAGAACCGCAAGGAGCAAGGGCGACCATGAATGAGATTCTTAAGAGAAAATAACTCTTGTCAGCAGAACTTACAATTTAAGATAACTGCCTCCACTATTATAGTATCAGATAGTACAGTAAGGTGAAGATAAAGCCTCTCTCTCTCTCTCTCTCTCTCTCTCTCTCTCTCTCTCTCTCTCATTTGCTCGCTCATTATTTTTCAATATATTCCAAGTGGGCACCCAAATTCCACATATATCCAACAGTAATTTCTTTCGAGTGATACGTCAACGTGGAAATCATTTTCAGACTCACCAAAAATTCAATAGACATCGAAATTATAAAATGCTTTCCTTCGATAACAAACTTTTACTTTTATTTTGATCTTGGTTTGGTTTGGCTTTATTTTATGTCAACTCTGTCTTTTATTTTTTTCCTTTGTCGTTTTCTTCTGTCCTTCCATCCTCCTTTCTGTTAGTTTTCCCACTTTTAATCTAGTTTCTCATTGCTTCTCTTTTATGTGCCTCTTTTCACATCATTCTCTCATCGCTTTTCAGTATCTTCAAATTTCTGCCTCTCTGTATTTTTAATTTTTCAATTTCTGATGTCAGTCATTTGTTTTCCAATTTTATGTTTATTTTTCCATCCAATTTTCTTTTACTTTAAACATTTTCCACGGTCCTGACTGGGCCACAGGGAGAGTGAATTCTGAAGTCATCAAGAGGCAGTTTTATTATTCCTCTGTCTTCTCTCTCTTCCTCACTATATATATATATATATATATATAAATATATATATATATATATATATATATATATATATATATATATATATATATATGTCGTGCCGAATATGTAAAACTGGTCAATTAGCAAGAACTCATTTAAAATTAAGTCCTTTCTAAAAATTTCTCTTATACGTTTAAAGAGATATATTTTTTCATTAATGTTAATGTAAAATTTTTTAATTTTGCACCACAAGAATCTTAGAAAATTTACCTAACCTTATTATAACAAGCGCAATTTATTTTAGCCTAACCCAACTAAATATATTTTAGATTTGTTTACAATAATTTAATACTAAACAAACACAATAAAATATATTTTTCTCGTTAGGTTGAGAATGATTTTGGCGAAATTATTGCATACACAAATTTTCGCTTGTCGTATATGGCAAGATGAGCGTTGCTATTTAAGCCAAGATCGCAAGTTCTGCCTATTCGGCAGACATACACACACACACACACACACACACACACACCGACTACCACAAAACCACTCTCACTTTTGAATTTAATTACTTTTTAAAGCTGCAAAAGGCTTAAGCTTTAATGACGTTACCTGGTAGCATTTTCCACTCAACTACAACACAACTGCCAAACCAGTGATTATCTATATCCTTTCTATCTCTAAATTTCTTTAATTTATGTTTAAAAAAATATAAGTGTGCATTTATTATTGTATTTCTGAATTATAGTGTACATATTTGATCATGCAATTTGGAAATATAATTCAGCATTATATTACAGAATATGGCAATGTTAACTAACAAAGATTAACAAATTGTAACAGTTACCTGTCAAGAAAACGCAGGTTTTGAATTTCATAAGTGAAAGAACAATGGATTAATAATAATAATAATAATCATTGTTATAATAAGCATTATCATTACCATTCCTTTCTCTGTTACAGTTAGTTATTGTGAAAACGAAGAAGGATGTAGAAGAACAAGCCTTTACTGGGACAACGTTTCGCACAAAGGAGAGCTTTTTCAAGTCTTGAGAGAGCTTTGCTTTAAGCGAAAAGTTGCCCCAGTAGACTTGGTCTGCTCCACACAATTTCATCTTCATTTCCAATTATATTATAACCTTCAGTCACTTGCTGTTTTGGATTTGAGTCATGTAACTGTACACTTTTTACAACAAATATTAATATCATCGGTAATATTATAATGGGTAATATTATCGCTCGAAATAATGCCATTTTAAATATTATCATAGGTAATGTTATTTTTGTCCAGCCTTGTAATATGCAAAGAGTAATTCTCTATTTTTTTTAATTTGTTGGATAAATGCTACAATGATAAAATATTGTCGTTAGACGATGGGAAAAAATGCCCGAGATTTTAAGTATGTCCTTCGGTCTGGATTTTTATGCTGGTGAAGGGCTCTTCATCTAAGGAACCGGAGCCACTCTTCCACTGGAATAAACCTGATTACTTTCCATTCCACAGGCGCAGCATGGCCCTTATGAGTTTAGCGCCTCCACAAGAGTACAATGCGGTGCGTGGAATGTATCTGATAATGACTGTGTACGGCCTCAGAAATGCTTTTTAATGCCGCTCTTACGGAGGCTCTTTAAGGACGGTGCCTTGATGGTAAGACACACAGGCAATATTTAGGCATCTATATTCCGAATCGTTTCGCCTACACAGTAGGCTTCTTCAGTCGAATATAGAAAGTAGGCTGGAGCAGTAGAGATGTGAAGACGATGTGATCAGTCCATCACCCATGAAGATGTAGATTTGAGGTTATCAGTCCCTCAGGATAGAGAAGAATTGTTTCAGACTATGAAACAGAATTCTTCTCCAGGCTGGGGGACTGACAACCTCAAATCTACATCTTCAAGGGCGATGGACTGATTACTTCGTTTTCACATCTCTACTGCTCCAGCCTACTTTCTATACTCGACTGAAAAAGCCTACTGTGTAGGCGAAACCCTTCGGAATAAAGATACCTAAATGTTGCCTATGTGTCTTATTTACCAACTTGTCGGTATTGTATACCATTTTGATATTCACGGTGCATTGATGCTGGCGAGAATCTCTTGTTCTGAGGAATTGAAGCTTTTCTTTCCTTCCTCGGATCAAACCTTAATTCCTCCCTAGAAACAAAGCATTAATTCTTTTCTTCGCAAAAGCACTGCATTATCATGTATTTTGTGAATAAAGTCGACCTGTTGTCGATTCTGACAGTGAAAAGGAGGGGAGTAATCAACCCACACCGTCCATGACCAGATCTAGTTGATGGTCATCAAGGTTGTTGGTGCTAGAAGCAAGCACCACAGGCTGACAGATAAGGAACTGATCACACTGAGCAAAAAATTATTAGGTTTGAATACAGACACACGCACAGTTCAAGAGATTTGTTAAGAAACGTCTCAAAGGTTTCTTCAGACCTAATTGTTAGGTCTGAGGAAACCACTAGGACTGAAGAAGGCTTGGTCAGACCTAATTATTAGGTCTGAAGAAGCCACTCGTGGCGAAAAGTTTCCTCAGTGTCTTGAACGGTGCATCTGTCGTTATGCACACACGCACACACACACACACACACACACACACACACACACACACACACACACACGACATATAAAATACTGCGAGGAATGGTTAAGGTGGACAGAGACAGGATGTTTCAGATATTCCAGAGATGGGACACAGAAACAAGGGGTCACAATTGAAAGTTGAAGACTCAGATGAGTCAAAGGGATGTTAGGAAGTATTTCTTCAGTCACAGAGTTGTCAGGAAGTGGAATAGTCTAGCAAGTGAAGTAGTGGAGGCAAGAACCATACATAGCTTTAATACGAGGTAGGATAAAGCTCATGGAGCAGAGAGAGGACCTAGTAGCGATCAGTGAAGAGGCGGGGCCAGGAGCTGAGTCTCGACCCCTGCATCCACAAATAGGTGAGTATACACACACACACACATACACACACACACACAGTATTATCCTATCAACCTATTCATGATTAGGCTTTCTTACAAGTCGTTCATATCGGTAGAATGAACTTGGGCAGCATTTAATTATTATTATAATTCCTATCAGAATCATTATTACTGTTACGGATAATCCTAATAAAATATTAATTACTATTAAAACTAGGGAACCTATCAAGGGCCTTATAAATAAAAGTAACTTTAGAACGAGAATACTTTTTGAACCATGAAGCCGTTTTTATGAACAGATAAGCATTTTAGAAAGTAAACATTTTTATGAACAGATGAAGACTTTTTTATGAACAATAAAGGTTTTAGAACAGTACACGTTTTTATGAACAGATGAAGCACGTTTTTATGAACAGATGAAGCACGTTTTTCGTGAAGGAATTAACTACTTTTTATGAAGAGATAAATAATATTTTTATGACCAGATGGAGCACTATTTTTTTTTTGCTAACAGATAAAGTACATTTATTCTGTTTAAAAAAATAGTGAGAAATTATTTTAGAGTTTAGATTTAAGAGACCTAATTAATATTCTTTCCATCGGGAAGCACTAAATCTGTAAGTGTTAAGAGAAAATTATATTTTGATTCAGGGAAAAGGAAGTTAGCACCAATTTCCTTGAATCAAGAGCCTTTCATCATGAAAAATAAGTCATAAAATAATTATAATAGTGATTACTTTGGTTTTCATGATTGACTGGAATTCTAAATGAGAAAAAATATTCAACTGACATGTAATTTACATAAAAAAATATTTTAATAAAAAAATAAATAATATAAAAGTTTAAAAAAATATTTAATTAAAAAGTCATTAACTAAACATTTAATTAAAGAACAAATTAATTAAATTTTTTATCAAAAAATAATTAATTAATTAATAATATTAAAGAATAATTTAATAATGAATATTTTATCAAAGAATAATTTAACAATTAAAAAGCATTTTTCAAAGAATAAAGTTAAAAATGAAATGAAAAAATTAACAATTAAAAATATTTATCAAAGAAAATAATAAAAATATTTATCAAAAAATAATA